AGCTGACAATGACTTATAATAAGTTGCTGTTAAACCATCCGTCCCAGGAGCTTTACCAACTTTCAATTGTTTAATTGCATTTAAAATTTCATCTGTTGTAATCTCTTCATCCATAATTTTCTGCTGCTCCACTGTAAGTTTATATATAGGTGAAGATTGTAAATATTTATCAATATCTTTGCTATTTATAGTCTCTGAAAAATATAAATGCGAGATGGACCATTTCTGGCTTTTTTGCCTTCATCAGTTAGCCATACCCTTTATGGGATTCGAACCTGGGCAGTTATACATACTAGTCAGTGATTTAGCCACTGAGCCACAGGTTCTCTTCCCCTGGAGAAAATTTTCGAATGTGCTTATCTCCATGGAATGAAGCTTGAAGGAGAGAGATCCTTGGTAGAAGTCCAATGTGGTTTCTAACTGTTGACTCATTAATGCAACATCTATCTGTGCTGTCATAATCCACACTTTTCCATCACATGCCTTTTCATCACATCTATCACTTTCAGCAGATAATAGACTGCTCAACAACTTCATTGTCAACGTATCTCCATAAACAACCATTATACTCGCATTGCTCTGTGTAATATGGACATTAAGTCTTTCAATCAGATCAAAGATTTTATGCCAATCATTCACCCTTTGTTTCTCCCGACGTGGCACTCTTTGAATGAAAGCTGAACAGATTCCATTCTGAGAGAACAGGGCCTCCAAGGTAATCAGAAAATGTTCTCCCTTGTCACAATCCTCAGCAAAGAGGCCAATCCAGGTCCAACCAAAATACTTTAGCAGGGAAACAATGCCTTGGATCTGGTGGTCTTCATTGAGGGTCATACGGAAGAAGGAAAGATTGTGTCTATTTCTCCATTCAGGGGCAAAGGATCCATGTGCCAGCTAAGTAGAGAGGAGATGCTTCAGAAATGACTATGCAGATTGTCAGTCATCCAGGTCATGGTTGTCCCAAAGGTGTTTTTTCAAAAGGCAACTGGACTTTCTTTTTTTTCTTTGAAGACATTTTGCTTCTTATCCAAGAAGCTTCTTCTAAAGAGGAAGAACTGAAGAAGCTTCTTGGATGAGAAGCAGAATGTCTTCAAAGAAAAAAAAAGAAAAAAGCACCTTTGTTTCAGAAGTGAGTTAGAAGAAGGTTCTGCCAGTCACTTTCACAGTATGACCTTAAGGTTTTTCATTCAAACTCCTTTGTAAAGCTACATATTTGTACCATGGGAGACTCTGCTGATCTTTAGTAGGCAGAGAAGAGCAATAAAGATGATTAAGGGACTGGAGGTTAAAACATATGAAGAACAGTTACAGGAACTGGCATGGCTAATGTAGTAAAGAGAAGGACAAAGGAAGATATGATAGCAGTATTCCAATATTTGAGGGGCTGTCACAGAGAGGAGGGGGAAAACCTATTTTCCAAAGTACCTGGAGGCCAGACAAGGAATAACAGATGGAAACAGATCAAGGAGAAATTCAACCTAGAAATAAGAAGAAATTTTCTGGCAGTGAGAACAATCAACCATGGGACCGTTTGCCTTCAGAAGTTGTGGGAGCTTCATTACTGGAAGCTTTCAAGAAGAGACTGGCCTGCCAACTGTCAGAAATGGTGTAGGGTCTCCTGCTTGGGCAGGGGTTTGGACTAGATGACCTACAAGAACCCTTTCAACCCTGTTGTTCTATACCAGGGGTGTCAAACTCAATTTCATTGAGGGCCGCATCAGCATTGCGGTTGCCCTTGGGGGGCCGGGTGGGTGTGGCCAGGGTGGGTGCAGCCTACTGGGTGGGCATGGCCAGCTCTACATCGTTCACATCAAGAGTGCCTGTGGGGGCCTGGGCAGGAGTGGGACAGATCTGAGGGTCTCTGGCAGAAGGAGATGGGACTGGGGCAAGCACCAAGGCATGGTGCATTTCTTCATTCCTCACAAAGGGTGACACCTCCCTAGCATGTATCCAGGGGGTGGGGCCAATGGGGCAGGGGCTGCTTTCTTGCTGTTTCTGGAGGGCCTTGTGGAGCTAAGACTGAATGCGTTTCAGCATAGATGGCCCCCACAAAATTGTACATTGGCTCCTGGCCGGCCTGGACCAGGGCCAAGGCAGCGAGAGCCGTTCTCTCACTTTTTCCAGAATGGCTTCATGGGCCACATGAAACCACTTCATGGGTCACATCCAGCCCCCAGGCCTTGTGTTTGACATCTCTGTTCTATACTATTCATAGGTCCTGACTAAAACTGATGATGAGATGTAGATCTTCATGCCTGGTTAACAGTACTTTAGAAACATAGAATTCTGTAGGTGAAATAGAGTCTGAAGTTCATCCAATCCAATTTCTTGCTTAGTGGAGGATCCACGTAGACTATCTCTTTCCCACAGAAGTCAGATATATTTGCTGGCCTGAAGACAGCTTTTAGGAGTGATGGTGTTTACTAATTGCCTTGTTTCAAATACAAAAAGGTGGGGAGCAGCAGCTGGAATGGAAATCACAAAATCTGACTCTACAAAAGAATGTTCAGCAGCAAGCAAATTTAGGAAATAAGGTTATCCCATCAGTGGAAGAGAATTGTGCCAGATGTAGGAAAGGCAGGCCCCCATGGAAAAGTATACAGAGGGAAACTGGGAGAGGAGGTAGGACTACAAAAAGGTTCTCAATTATAAGAAAATACCTCCATAGCCAGCTAATATTACAAAGAAAGAACTTCAAAACTATTAGCAAAAATTAAAATCAGTGTATCAGAATAAGGTTTTTGGTACTGCAAGGTGTAAGAGGCAATCAGAAAGGTTCCTCTCTTTCCATTGCTTATATATCTCCTTACAATTGGATTAAATTCTGGTTTCATCTCATAAATCTCTTTCTGGTTTTTATTTTTTAGAGTCTAGACTAAATTCTATAGAAGCAACTGTTGGATTTGTGCTCACTTTCCCACCCGTGTGTAGAGATGACTTCGTCACTAGAGTATCATTTAAGACCTTATCAGATGCTAATAGCTGAACCAAAGATATTACAAGTGATGTATACATGGGTGATTTAAAATGTTACAATATCCAAGTAAACTATAGGTCTGTTCTCTTTACAGTGTAATAATTCCATATTTTATGCATGGATATGTTGGAGAAGACTTCAGAGTCCTTTGGACTGCAGAGAGATCAATAAAATCAACTCTGATTGTTCTTTGGTAGAACAGATACTGAAGCTGAAGCTCAAATATTTTGGCCACCAAATGAGAAGAGAGGAGTCATTGGAAAAGACCCTGATGTTAGGAAAGATGGAAGGCAAAAGGAGAAGGGGACAACAGAGGATGAGATGGTTAGAATATGTCATCAATTGAATGAACATGAATTTGGGCAAACTCCAAGAGACAGAGGGGGCTGTTGTGCTATGATCCATGGTGTCGCAAAGAATGGGACACAACTTACCAACTGAACAACAGCAACAACTGGCAATAGGCCATATGTTTAAGGCAAGTCCCCCTTCCAAAAATGTATTAGGGACATCAATACCATAAGATCATAACTTATTGGGGAGAACCTGCTCAGGAACTGCTACTACCCATTGCTAAACAGAAAATATGCTTATTTGCAGTTTTTCTTCGATGGGAGAGACTGGAAACTCTGCAGCTTTGGGATTTTCTTGTCTTTTCTGCAACCAAAAAAAACCTGGGATATATGAGAGCTTTCATGACTGGACATAATGATTTTGGAAGACAATGCAAATCTTCTGTTCTGTAGATTATGATCAAGGAACTAATGGACAGGCAAAACAACCTGCCTCCAGAAGTTGTGAATGCTCCAACATTGGAAGTTTTAAAAAAAAAGATTGGACAACTATTTGTCTGAAATAACATAGGGTTTCCTACCTGATCATGGGGTTGGACTGGAAGACTTCCAAGATCCCTTCCAACTTTATTATTATTATTATTATTATTATTATTATTATTATTATTATTATTATTATTATTATTATTATTATTATTATTATTATTATTATTATTATTGTTGTTGTTGTTGTTGTTGTTGTTGTTGTTGTTGTTATTATTATTATTATTATTATTATAATAAAACAACAACAGAGGATAGGAAAATATTATGAACCCTTTAAAAATTGCATCATGAGAAACCTTCCAGTCAGGGATAAATACCATTCCTTGTAAGAGACACATAGACAAGCACACATAGTTAAAAGCACACATACATACACAGGAAAAGATATATACAAAGATACACATGACATGGGTAGAAAGAACAGAACAGATATCAGATAAAGGGTTCAGCTCTTGTTCAACAAGAAAGTGCATCAACAAGAGACAGATAAGCCCTATTCCACCAAGCTGTGCATGACATATAAGCTGCCATACATATAACACGTGAAAAGAAAAGGTCACTGATAAGTGATTACTTGGTTGACTGGATGATCCAGGGAAACCACCTGAGAAAAAGGTCTGCTCACAAGATTAATGGAACACTGTGATTTCTGCTCCCATTGTCCACTATATATTACTCTTAAAAATAGTCCAAAAAATTGATTTGCCATGGCATCCCTTCTAAGTTGAGAGATATAGATGGTGGTTCCTATAAAGGGAGATAGATAGATAGATAGATAGATAGATAGATAGATAGATAGATAGATAGATAGATAGATAGATAGATAGATAGATAGATAGATAGATAGATAGATAGATAGATAGATAGATCTCAACACAAGCTTTTCCATGCAGCCATTTTTAGATGAGAAGTGAAAATAGTTCTGCTTAAAACTGTCCCTTCTTTACCATTTCCTATATACTTGCTGTAATATCTAGGATATGATCTGGCTTTTGTTGGAACACCATGCACACACACACACACACACACACACCACAAAAAAACAGCAGAATAAATATATCAATATATCAAATCAAAGCATCTCAACCAACAGAAGTCTGACCTGTGCAACCTTGTACATCATTAAGATGTCTGCCACCTGGAAGGAAATATCAGAAGTTAATCCTGCAATCACAGCTATCACATTTTTCTTGGAGTTGCAGTTGTAATTGAGGACAAATCTCTGTGACTTGAGGAGAACCTGCAGAACACTGTGATAGAAAAGTTTTTCTTGGTTGTAGCTGTCCACAATGCAGAATCCAAGGGAGATGTTAGCTAAGATCTTCGTATTCCTATTTATTTCATTTATTGCAAATGCTAGGACTAAATTGTGCTAGTAAAAATTAGAGATCATTCTGAAAATAGAACGATATACATATGTCACATGAAAAAGAACCACAAGGATCAAACTTTACCATTTATAACACTCTACACACTATGAAAGAAAAGCCATGATCCTCAGGCATGCCTAACCACACTTGATATTTGTGTCCACAAATAACAATTCATGGCAGGGATGCAGGGAAAGACCATGGAGATGCTCATTAAAGATCCAAGAATTGAGTTTTACTGGAGGGAGACTTTAAATTAAGCCAACCTTGGACAGACTGGATGATTCCTTAGGAGATCATCTAAGAAAGATCACCGAGGAAATCAAAAAATTTCAGAATTGTAGTTTTTTACTGGGGGGAAAGTCATAGAAAAAGTGAAAATCATGGTTTTCTTGCCAGTGAAATAGAAATTCATGATGCCACCAGAAGTCACAGTTGTCTCAAGGTTGATCAGATTAGCTACTTAATAATCCAATATCTCAGGGGCTGCCATAAAGAAGAGGGAGTCAAGCTATTTTCCAAAGCGCCTGAAGGCAGGACAAGAAGCAATGGGTGGAACCTAATCAAGGAGAGAAGCAACCTAGAACTAAGGAGAAACTTCCTGACAGTTAGAACAATTAACCAGTGGAACAACCTGCCTCCAGAAGA